GCTGATTAATGATTACTGCATTTGTCAACATACAGAACAATTTCAGTAACTCTTTCCCCCGCCATGCAATTCCCTTTGCTTTCACTTGGTAGTCAAATTCTTCCCCCAGCCTTAGCCTCTGGCATCTTTTTCCCCATCCCGAGTGATGCCTTTTGCAGAATGTCATGGATAGGCAGCCATATGTCCTTTTCTGTCCAGCTGCTTTCACTTATCACAATGCATATTTGAGAGTCATCCGTGATGTTGTGTCAATCAATAGTTTGCTAGCCCCCTTCCTATCTGAGTAGTATCTCATTAAGTGCCTGTACAAACCACAGTTTGGTGTCCTAACACCCCACCCAGGGGCATTGGGCTTCTTCCCAGGTTTTGGTAATTACTAATAATGAATTTGCATACAGGTTTTCTTGTTTTCTTTTCACGTGTGTTAACACCTAGCTAGGAACAGGTTTTACAGGGTCCCAGGGTGACTGTATTTCACTTTGTAAGCAACTGCTTGAATCCCTTTCCAAGGAATCTCTACCCTATTGGGTTCCCACCAGGATGCATTCTCTATCCTTGTCAACACTTGACACTGTCTGGTTATTAAAAAATAATAATAATTCATTCTAGTTGATGTGTGATGGTATCTCGTGGCTGTTTCAATCTGCATTTCCTTAAAGCCTTCATATACTTATTTTCTGTGTACTCTTCTTTGGAAGCTACTTCAACACTTTTGCTCATTTTTAAAAGGTTATCTTGGAGCTATTGAATTTTGAGAGTTCTTTACATACAAATCAGTCATTTGTCAGGTGTAAAATTTTAAAATATCTTCTCTCACTTTTAACTTGTTTTTCCAACTTTAGAGTAGTTTTCCTTTAAACACAATAGCTAACTTAGATGAAAATAAATTTTTAAAGATTTATTTATTTTTATTACACAGTCAGATATAGAGAGAGGAGGAGAGACAGAGAGGAAGATCTTCCATCCCTTGATTCAATCCTCAAGCTGCTGCAACGGCTGGAGCTGCGTGATCTGAAGCCAGGAGCCTGGAGCTTCTTTTCAGGTCTCCCACACTGGCACAGGGTCGCAAGTCTTGGGCTGTCCTCCACTGCTTTCCCAGGTTATAAGCAGGGAGTGGATGGGAAGCGGGGCCACCAGGACACGAACTGGTGCCCATATAGGATTCCTGCGCCTTCAAGGTGAGGACTTAGCTGCTACACTATCGCACCAGGCCTGAAAAATCCGTTTTTTGCATTTTTCTTTTGGGTATCAGCTTTTTAGTGTCAAAACTAAGAACTCTTTGCCCTAACTCAAAGTCACAAAATTTCTCACCTAGACTTTCTTTTAAGAATTCTATGGGCTTGTTCTTACATGTAGGTCTGTATCCATTGTGACTGAATTTTTAAAATAATTTATGAGATGTAGGTCCATTTCTTCTTGGTAAATGGATGTCAAGTTCCTCTAGCACCACTTGTTGAGAAAATTGTACTTCTCCATATTAAACAATATTTGTTTTAAAAGAAAAAAAATAAGTTTACATAGCATAAGAACCCGAACATTTTCTAACATAAAAACAGAATTCAATAGACCCTGATTCAAAGGTGGCTAAGAGAGTCATCCTTAGTAGTGGAACAGCACTTGTTTCATTTGTAGTGGCATAAAATCAAACTTATATTCCATGTCAAGATTGATTTTCTTTTCATTGCTTCTAGAAGTTTTAATTATTTGTATCTTCAAGGATCAGTAAATTATAAGTCCTTTTGATAATTGTTTTTAGAGTGGCAGTGAAATTCAAAACTCATCTCGATCTAATTATTCCTTTTTAATTAATAAAATAGCACATACGTGTTGAATATGCCAATAATACAAAATGTCATCTAAACCTTAGGATATTATAGGATACTGATGTTCATATGACTTCTCTGTCCTTCTCGAGCTCTTTGGCTTGTTTTCCTCTTCTTCTTCTCCTTATGGCTTGCAATGTCGGCCTAGGTTGGTTTCTTTATTTCACTAGTTCCTTGGGTGATCCCACTCAGCTGGACAGCATGAACCGCCACTTACACTCTCATGAACTTAAGTTGTGCCTGCAACCTAACCCCTTCACAAACTCCAAGCTAGTTTATCCAATTGTCTTGTCCACAACACATCCAAGATGTCTAATAGCCATGGTTTTTCCCACCCAGTCCTGATTCTTTTTTTTTTTAAACCCTTCCTATCTTGGGTTGGAGCACCATTATTCCTTCAATTGCTAAGACCAAACTCCCAGGCATCACCCAACAGCACTCCCTTCACCCACCCACTAGCTCCCTTCTTTCAGATCTGACATTTAGTCTCCAATAAGTTCTTTGAACACTAACTATAAAATATCCCTTAAACTGGATTACCATTCACTGCCACAGCTGCTGCCTCTCTGGGATATGGAGAGAACTCTGAAACAAGGCCTTGCCTCCTCACTGGTTTCTCTGCCTATACACTTGCCCCTGCAGTCCTATCTATGCCTGTTTTCCCATGTCCTTACCAATACTACATACGATCATATTTTTAAACATTTTTCAATGTTAGGCAAAACACAAGAAACCTCCACAAAGGAGAAAGATGATTTAAAACACCTTTGTTCACAGATAAGTAGACATTTTTTTTTAATTTAGATTTATTTGTGTGTTTATTTATTAGAAAGGCAGATATACATAGAGGAGGAGAGATAGAAAGATCTTCTGTCCACTGGTTCACTCCCCAAGCAGCCACAACGCCCAGAGTTGAGTCATTCTGAGGCCAAGAGCCTCTTCTAGGTCTCCCATGCGGCTGCAGGATCTCAAGGCTTTGGGCCATCCTTGACTGCTTTCCCAGGCCACCAGCTGGGTGGGAAGCAGGACTGCCAGGATTAGAACCAGCATCCATATGGGATGCTGGCCAATGCAAGGCAAGGAATCAGCCATTTGGCTATCATGCCAGGTTAAATAATTAGACATTTCTTATCTCAAGAAGTTTGAGTTTCCAGAAGATGAATTGTCCTGGTAAAGTCAGTCCTATTTGGAAGCAGTGAAAAAAATTAAAGCAAAACATGACTTAGATGTGAAAGATCTTCCACCTATGTAAGAAACTTTTTGGTACATTTTTCAGAAAATAGCACTTCGTGTTTTAAACTGGGTGATCCGAAGTCAGAAGCCCAGGAATCCTCACTCACGTTCCTGCTGTAATGTGTAGCTCTCAAGTTTTCCTTCCAAGGAATCCACAGTACAAGACCTCAAGGTTTAGCCTTGGTTGGAGGGCTCATGGAAGTTGTGACACGTGGCAATAGATGACTGTTTAACCCCTGGTGGTTTCTGCTGAGCCTTTCTAGGAGGGGACTCAGAGAACAAGAGAAGTTGTCTGTTTCAGTAACAGAGAATGAGTAAGGAAGAAGAGCAAAGCCCACCCAGAGAAGAGATCCCGAGCTCAGGAGCCCTGGCAGTGCCTATGCTGTTCCGTGGATTCATGCAAATGTCTGCTTGTTCGGATGCTTGCCTTTCTTGTGCTGAGTTATCACTGCTGCCTGAGCCTTCTTTATCCTCATCAGGTGCCAGATACTAGAGCTCAGAAGCGTGTTCCTGGCAACAGTATATAGGGAACTTTAAAACGTATTAGGAACATAGGTTTGTGCTGTCTGTGTAATTCCTATACTACATATTCCCCATATGCTTTGTGAAGTACCCTCGTATTAGAGCTTGAGAGATTCTTTGCAATCTCTCCTTTGCAATCTCTTATTCCCTGTGCAGATGACAAAATGATTGTCATGGGTAATGATCCGGACATGTTTAAACTCATACTATTGAATAAGGAAAACAAAGAACTGCTTCACTTCAGTTCTCATGTCTTCTCAGATTGTCAACTGGAAAAGCACCCCGTCTGTAAATTCCTAAAGCAGGAGTGGCAGATAACAAGTGCATGTCTGACCAAACCCCTGTGCTTTGGCACCATGAGATGGACACTGGTAACCAGCTTCAGTTCAGCTCTGAGCAGCCTGAGAGCCCTCCAAGCACTGTGTCAAGCAGGACCTGAGGCTGGGGCTATGCCAAGCAGCCAAGATGCCTGCATACCACACCGCAGAGTCCCCGAGTTCATTTCCTGGTTCCCCATCCTGGTTTCCTGCTAATGGAGTTTTCATATCTGAAGGAGTTGGGTTCCTGCCACCCATGGAGGAGATCTGGATTGAGTTTCTGGGTCTCAGTTTCTGCCATGGCCCAGCCCCAGCTCTTTGCTTCTTTGGGGATTCTCTCTCTCTTTTCCCCCCCTCTCTCCCTCTCACTTCTCCCTCTGTCTCTCTCTTCAGCTCTATGTCTCTGAAAAAAAAATTGGTAAAGCTAATCTGAGTTTTCAGGTGAATTCAAATCCTTCCCCTCTTCTGAATGGTGTTTGTATGTGATTCATGAGGTGGGGCTAGGAGTATGGACTCCAATCAGAGCACTTATTTGATCCCAAATCTGCCTTTTCTTAGCTGTGTGATTTTAGGCAAGTTGGTTCACTTTCCCAAGATGGATTGCTCAGCTCTGCAGTAAAGGAATTAACTACAGTGGAAGTGATCCTTCTACTTCTGACAAAGGCGATGAGAGCCCTCCGAGAGATTCCTGGTTTCCGGAGTGTGTTGAAAAAACTGCAACTGGTAGTCAGGAAGTTGGCTTGTTAGAAATTGGTATTGAGTTTCTAAGGAGTGATGGCATTCTAGCTTATCCTGACTTTTCCCCTGCTTGGTCCTTTTGATCCATATCTGTGAAAGGAAAATGTAGGTCTTTAAAAAGGAGACTGAGGAAGGGCTCGCTTACAAGCAAAGACTTACAGGAGCCCCTGCCAGGCTTTGGGTCCTGACTGGGCAGACCTCCAGCTTCCCTGTCGCCACTGCCACCTGGCATTACTTCTGCTTCACTTCCTGCATGTCCATGGGGACAGGAAACCCTCAGACAGCTCTCAGCAACCTAGCCCTCTGAGGGCTCCCAGGTGCCACACCCAGCTCCCCGCAGTGATCCACCTACCCGTTTCTCTTCCAGGTGCCCCTTCCCTTCGGGCATATCCTCTCCTCTCCGTGATCACCCGACAGCCTGCGGTCATCTCCCACCTGGTCCCTGCCAGCCCGGGAATTGGCCAGGCGCTATCTCGCCGGCCTGTCGCTGAGGCCGGGTCTGCTGAGACCCCGGGCGGTGAGGCTTTGGCGAGCAGCGAGTCAGAGACGGAGCAACCCACGCCGCGGCAGAAGAAGCCCCGCCGCAGTCGCACCATCTTCACGGAGCTGCAGCTCATGGGCCTGGAGAAGAAATTCCAGAAGCAGAAGTATCTGTCCACCCCAGACAGGTGAGGGTACATGGAAGGGGTCGCCTTCTCTGGACCCAATGGAACCCATTTCCCGATAGCCTGCCTGTGGCTGGACTGACTGGTATCACTCTAATGGAAGGAGCAAGCTCAGGGGTAGTGAATGGTTGCTCAGGGTCTCAGTGGGAGGGAAACAGGCTGAATATATAAAGCCATGCATCCTGAGCATCCGAATCTCCCGTCTATCCAATACCTCTTGCTTGGAAGGGGCTGGCTGGATGTAGCTGAGGAAGTGCCAGGTGTCCCAGTTAGGACCAGAGGCAGAAGCAGAAAAGAGCTGCACTACAAACAGGCATGGGATGTGTCTTGTTCCTTCAAGCTCACTCTGGTCATGGCTGTACTAATGGAGGTCTGATTTATTAAGGGGATTTTTGCTGGTCCTTTGCTCACTGCCTTATCTAAATCCAGTTTGGCTTTTGTGCTTCCAGAAAGAAAGGGAAGGAAATGCAGACAAATCTTGGAAACTATTTAGTAAGAGGGATGAGGATTTCAGTGAGAGGGATTCTGTGGATCACTAGCAGGGAATTTCATGAGCTGGAAACCACCAGCTGTTGGCTGAGGGTCTGCCTGGGGGCACTGAAGCCAGTCTGTGATCTTGCTCAAAAGGAGGTCATGGAGAAGGAATGTGTACATAACTGTGATACCATAAGCAAGGCCTAGAAGCCTTCTCAGGGGAAGTTATACTTAAGGAGAGCTTTAATTTCAAACAAGGCATTGTATTGAAAAGGACTGACACACAGAAGGTACATGACATGTTTCCCAGGCAGTTGAGGGCTCTGCGAGTGGGTAGAGTTATCTATCTCCAGGCTCAGGAGTGGCAGGGACATGGTAAAGATGAAATCAAAAAAGTGAGAAGGCCCTGGCCAAAGAATGTAGGCTTCAAAGGGGGCAGGCATTTGGGCATGGTTCCATTCCCACCTCATCTCCTGACCCCAGCTTCCTGCTAATGCAGTCCCTGGGAAGCAGATAAGGAATCAGCCACCTGTATGGGAAACTTATACTGAGCTCCCAGCTTCAGCTCAGCCTATCCCAAACTTGCAGGCATTTGGGGGTAGGAACCAGCAGATGGGAGCTCTGTTTGTCTCCTCCTTTTTCAAATAAAGGAAAATAAAGATTGTGCATTGTGTTTTCAGGCAGCCAGCAGCTATTAAGAGCTATAAGTGACAGATCCAGATTCCCATGTGAGAATCAAAGTTTTGGTGGCACTGTAACTGGTGGTTACAGAATTAACAGATGGGAAACCAGTTAGGAGAGAATGCAGGGAGCGTCATTGGAGACAATGGGAATAAAGGGAGAGAATAGATGGGAGAGCAGTGTTGAAGATAGAATGGACAGACTTGACACTGTGGGAGCTAGCAATTCTGTGGTTCTTGGATTGGGCCACCACTAAATAGGGATATCAATTAGCTGATATTGGAAGGCAGGGAAGGTTCTGTGGGGACTTCTCTTTTGCATATGGACATTGTCTTGTGGTGACAATGGAGACAAGCCTATGCGTGGGAGATCAGTGAACAGTGCACCCTGGTGTTTAATAGTTGTTTTGATGCTCCACCTCTTCCCAGGTAATTGTGAGCCTCCTGTATTTGTGCACCCACGTGAAGCGAGCCTCATTACCATCTCTGAGTTGTGCAGTGGTGTTTCTAAGGGGCTTCAGCAATGGCAGTAGCAATTTGATTTAGGCTAATTTTTCTAAAGTCAGAGAAACGGCCTTTATAGAAATGTTACTTTTACATAAACCTTCCAGGGTTTCCTGATAACCTGCCCAGGCACTTCTCAGATGGCCTACACAAGACTGATTCACCTGCCTGGGAGGAGGACACCAGCCGGCTGGCATCAGCCTGCTGCCTCAGTCCGCCTTCTCAGCTCTTCCTTGCCTCCCTACGTGACCGGAGCCATGAGCGCGCCCTCTTCTCCCAGTCTGTGCCCTCTTCCTCTGTGTTTGTTTGCCCGGTTTCCTAGGTGACTCCATTTAAACGAATACGCAGGGAAGTGAGAATTTGTAACGGTGGCAGGTAATGAGAGAAAGCTGATGACAGTGAAGCATGTTTCTGTAGCCAGAGTGAGTCAAGGAGGCATGCTTCCCAAGTGAGCTAACACTGTTGGCTGATGCAGTGGCAGAGCTGTGAACCTTCCATTGACTAATGTATCTGATAGCCCCAGGTGAACCGGGCTCAGGCAGGAACTGCCAAAACACAGGAAGGACCTGGGGGACCACCAAAGCCCCCAGAGAACTGGGGACACCAGAAGTCTGTGGCATGGTCCTCTGATCTGGGTTCTTCAGGAGTGACTGCTTCGGAAATGATGCTTTGTTAATGGAAAGAACTAAGGTGATTTGTTGATTTCAATCCATTTATTGTTTTCAATAAAACTGTCAGCTGCCAGTAGCCCTTGCACAGGGATGACCAGACATGTGTGAGTGTATGTTTATGGCAGATTCCAAAGCCCCTTGAAAGAAGATTCTATTTTTACTGTTGAAAATTTAAGTTGTAAGGCAGTGGGGCATCTGCACCTGCCAGTGTCAGCATTAGCACCTAGACCCTTCGGGTACCAGTTGATCTTCCTAGTGGTCAGATCTCCCCACAAAAAGTTGCTAATGAAAATTCATAGCTGAGGTTGCTGACGGCTCAGGCTTGCGCCTCTGTGGGCTGTGAGACTCCAGGCCTTAGATCTGCATGTGGCCGCCCTCAGAATTCCGGGGAACTTCAGAAAGCACTGGACACTGCCTGAGCTATACTGAGGATGGCAGCCTCAAGCAAGCAAGTTACTGCTTCCTTGAGCAACATTGGGGATATGGCTATTGCTAACTCCAAAAGGTGCTAGGCTAGACTTGGCCAGGAGTTAGCTGCCAAAAGTAGGATCGGAAGCTTGGCCACAGACTTCCATTTCTCATTCCACACATATCACATGGGATGTTGGCTACTCTGTGGGATGTAATCTCCCCAGTTCCCCATTTTAACTTATTTTTTAATTTCTTGTAAGGATGGATTTATCTTTAAGGTAGAGTTACAGGGAAGGGGGAGATGAGAGAGAGAGATTACTCTTTCATTTGCTGATTTACTTCTCAGATGACTATAACAGCTGGGGTTGGGCTAGACAGAAGCCAGGGTCTGCATATGGGTCTCCTGCATATGTGGCAAGGGCCCATCCTCTGTTGTTTTTTTCCAACCCTTTAGCAGGGACAGGTAAGGAAGTGGAGCAGCTGGATTCAAACCAGTGCTCATATGAGATTCAGGTATTGTAAGCAGCAATTTAACCTGGGGCACTACAGCACCAGACCCCAATATTTCCCATCCAACTTGTACAAAATATTGTGGGTAAAGGTGGCATAAGCCCAATACCGAGCAGAATTAAGTGAGTTTGAATACTGCCTCCATTTCTGACTCTAGGGTCACCTACGAGGAATCAAGAAGTTTTTCAGTAAGAACCGGCTAAGGCAGTACTTTGGAGCTGTGTGGTTGTTACAACTACTCAACTCTAATGTTACAGCAGAGGCAGCCAAAGACAAAAGTATAAACGGATGAGCATGCCTGTGTTCTAATAAAACTATTTACAGAACCAACTAATAAGATCTGGTCCTAGTTATTGAGATCTTTCTGAGCCTCAAATTAGTCATCTGTGAAATGGAAATAAGTATATCTACTTCACAGTATTGCAAAAGAAATCCAGCTGGTAGCACATAGCATGGCTTAGCAAGTAGTCTAGGATGCTGTGGTGTTAAAATAAATCTCAACTTTATACACCCCACGAATGGCTTAGACTTTGGGGATTCCTCAGAAGGTTATAAAAAATTCAGAATCAGTATTGAGGGAGCAAAGGAGGTAGGAGGGCTGCATATGTAATGTTTTTTGTTCAATCATTTATAGCACCTTAATTGCTAAAACAATATAGGGCAACTGTAAGGAATGATTCAATCTATCAAAAATATTTTTGATGTTCAGTTCAGGATTTCAAGGCCACAAAACACTTCATGGATGTAAAGAAAGGAAAGCTATAAGCTGCCCTTGCTGTGACATTAGGGAGGCAGGAATCCCACATGCTCTGTGATTAGACAAAAGCTGAGAATGTGGGACATCTGGGGGACTGCTGGCCTCTGAGGGGCAATGGCGATGACCTTGGCAGGCTTACCTGCCAGAGGTGGAATTTGGATGGCCGTGAGGTGATGAGTGGTGTCCACCTAAGAAGCTACAGCTGTTATGGTTCATGTTTCCAGGGGTGGACTACCATAGCTCTCCCTCGTTTCTCACTGTCCCTGAGTTTCCCAGAGTTCCCAGGGGGTTCTTGGAAGCAAAGAAAATCTCCCTGAGTTGATTTGCTGGAGGAGATTCAAATTTTGGTAACAGCTGCCTGGAGCAGGTCAGGAGGATCCCATCCCCACTGCCATCTGCCATCTTCCTCATGCTCCCTTCATATCTCATCTTCTAGGTTGGACCTGGCACAGTCCCTGGGGCTCACTCAGCTGCAGGTGAAGACTTGGTATCAGAACCGCAGAATGAAATGGAAGAAAATGGTAAGAAAGGGCAGAGTGAGTCTCACCCTGGGCTCATCATGGTGGGAAGAGTGCTTGCCAAAGGAACACTGTGAGGCAGGAAGGACCACCTGGTGTTTGGGGTGACTGAGGTTGGGAGGATTGCTAAAATCTGGCTGGGAACAAGGCTGTTTGAACTGCAGGATAAGCTCTTGGCTTCTTGACCTGGATTCCTAACCAGAGAGATTCTTTTTCACTTTCCTTAGAAATCAAAGAAAACCCACAAGCTTCTCAGATGCCAGTTGTAACCCCACCTGCTGGCCTTTTCAAAGCACTTCCTTTCCCCTCCCACCAAGAGCCAAGAATAGAAGTCAGCTCTCTTTGTTTCTGATGACACCTGTTCTGCTAGCTGTGCATCCCTTAATGAAGGAGTTCCCAAGCTTTAGCTGGCAGCACAGTCACCTGTGTAGCAGGTGATTCCAGGGCTGGGAACATGCATATTAAGCAGCTTTCAGGCTACCCTGAAACACATACTTTAATTATCATAGTTTTCTTGACACATTATTGTCTAGTCTTTCCATCTTTAATATTTTCCATCTAACTTAAAATACCTCACGTTTTGAGGAACTCAATTTCATTGTCGTTTATCCTTGCTAAAAAGAGTTACATTATTTACTTGAACTGCAGATGGACACAGAGAAAGGGAGCTACAAGAGGAAAAAAATCTACTGTTTGCTGGTTCACTCCTCAAATGGCCTCAGTGGCCAGGGCTGAGTAACCAAAGTTAGGAACTTGGTGGAACTTGATCCGGGTCTCTTATCTGGGGCTCGAGGGATCCAAGTACTAAGTCATCCTCTGCTGCTTTCTAAGGCACATCACCAGCAAAGTGGATCAGAAGCAAGGCAACTGGACTCCAACTGGCGTTCCAATAGGGCTTGCCAGCATGACAAACAACAGCCTAGCCAGTTTCACCATAGTACCTGCCCTATATCTTTCTTTTTAAAAATTTTTATTTTATTATTTCATAATACAGTTCCATAGGCCCTGGAATTCCCCACCCCCTTCCACACACACTCCCCACCCTACTGATTTTCTCTATATTATTACAATAGTACAGTCCTTCATAAATGGTCATAAGTCATAATTCTGCCATTTAGTTGTATGCTAACATTGGAGGTATGGACACTTATGTCTTTCTTTTTAAAGGAATTATTTTATCTAAATTTTTCAAAGCAGATGAATGTAAATGATGAGGGGCAAGGGCAGAGCTCAGTGAAGAGAGTGCTGGGGCTGCAGACTTAAGGGTTGCCCTATTCTTGGTGATCCATGTGTACATTCTGGGAAGGTGGGATTAGGAGGGGAGCTGTGACTCAAGCTGAAGCACTCCAGTATGTGATACAGGCATCCCAGTGGCATCTTGACCACTGTGCTAAATGCCCACTCCATTGCTGATTTATAACTTGAAAGGGTCCATAGGAAAGATGGAAAGGAAAGTTGCGGGGAGAAACTAAAATGGAAGAATGGGGTTCAGTTGACACCCCACACGTGGAACTTTCAGGGGATTGGTTTCAGAAAGAACCAGATTTGGAAGGGAGATACTGGGCTGTATTCCCAGGCTTGCCCCTCCCTGGCAGTTTTTTGGACAAGTCCATTCACTGCTTTCTGTGTAAGTTCCACCACCCACTTCTTTCCTCGTCAATCATCGTCATCAAAATCAATGTCTCCCGAGTAGCAGAGGCATTGTTCACATTGGTTATCAGCAATCTTCTCATGAGTCAGATGAGTAACGAATCGACAGCCAGCAATCTCTGCCAGAAACCTCCCAGGACTTGTAGGAGGACGCGTGTGCCTTTGCCTCTGACATCACTTGTTTTTTACCAGCCGCTGTGCTACTGGCATAGCTGGGGGCTGGTTATTGATGGTTATCGATGCTATGTAAAGCAAAATGCAAGTCACTTGGCAGATCTGACCTCAGAGAATGATCCACAGGCCAGCTGAATTCACGTCCCTTTGTGGAGCAAGATTGGCAAGCATCCTTTCACCTCATCAATAAGTTAGTGAACATGTAGTCTCAGCAGTCAGTGGAGATGCAAAGGTGAGACTGGAAACTGTCCATTAAAGAAAAACGTTTGGGAAAGATATTTAAGTAGAAGGGGTGACAGACCTGGAAACTTGCAATTATACAAGTGATCAGGGCCACAGCAGAGGGATTTGCAGAGTTCACAGGCAACACAGAGAAGAACAAGTTTCAGGGGAAAGTACCTTGTAAATGGTTTGAATGCCTCAAGAGAGATGTGCCCAGTAAAGGTGGAGAGGATATGGCAGGCAGCAAGAGAGATCAGAACCTTTTGGGGGCAAGTCCGTAATGGGAATCAGTACTTCAAAATGGGAGGAACCCAGATGCTAGGGGTTGTGTTCCACACTGACTCTGAATTCTAATATTCCCTCAGAACAACAAAGCATTGTTGTGATCCTGATTGCTTCATTTGTTTTTCTGGTATAACTCTTTCAAGACTATCTCTTCAGGTACTCAGGAGGAAAAGAAAAAGATAATTGGGCAATAAAGATGTCTCAAGGCTAGTAACCTAATTGGAACTGGAAAAAGATTAGCACTTGATTCTCAGACTTATTCATGAAGCTGCCAAGAGAGTACTGCCAAAACCAAGATAGCATCTCCAACTAGTTTTGACCAGTCAGCATTTGTAACCTATAGCGGGTTGGGTAAATTTAATCTCACACATTAGATGGAGCACCCAGCCTCTCTTCCATTTCTCTTGGCTTTGCTTCCAGAAGGATCTGCAGTGTTTTGCAACAGGCTGCAAAAGTGCCTGCTTCATTCCATGCTGCTTCTGAGCTCTAAAATGCACATTTCTTTTGTGAGAAGTCCCTTCCTCTCCCAGCCACAGAATTGAGTAGCAGGCACGATGTACCGTCCATATCTCTCACTGCTAGGTAGACAGTGTTCATGAAATGGTTATTAATTAACCATTCATGTACTCTAGGGCAGTTTATGTAACCTTAGTTTCTTCATCAGTACAATGCCTCACTTGCACCTTATAGGGTGTAGCATTGACAGATCAAATCCCTGTGAAACCTAGAGAAAAGTATCTTCCACACTGGACACAGCCAAGAGATATTGACTTCCATGATGGTTGTTGTTGTTATCATTATTAGCCTTTCCGCAGAACCTGTGTCTTCAGAGATCCCAGAGTTTTGGAGATTGGGACAGATAAACCCAAAGTGAATTCTACAGGTTCTTGGGAGTCATAGCATTTCTTATCCCCATCTTTCCAGCCATCTCCCCAGGACCTGGGACTCTGGAACCCTGCATGAGGTACAGTGGAGCATCCCCCTTTTAGGCTGAGCCTGAGCCTTTTGGCTGGGGTGAGTGACATGGTCTTGGGAGGAAGTTCTAAATGGCTGGAGAATCCCAAGTTGTTTCTGAGCTCCATGGGAATGGGTTGCAACTCCCTGGCCCTAACTGGTCTCTAAAGCTGCGGTCTGTGCTGGCTTGGAGTACTCTAGCTCATGAGCCTCCTGGTTGTAGAGTCTGTTAGGAGATGGGGTGACTTCTAACAGCAGACACAGAGAGAATAGTGACACATTTTACATTCCCCTCACACATTGAACAGCATGAAAACACTGGCTAAGGAGGTAGAGGGGAGGGGCCGCAGGCTTTGTGTTTGAATTTCTTCTCTGCCTTTGGATTACCAGATCCTCCCTTTTGGCTCAATTTCCCGTTCTCTGTACTACAGTGAGGGAAGGGGAAGTTTTCTATGCACCAATCCTGGGAGCTGCTCCCCACATCAGCACTTTGGGAAGAAAGCAAGAAGTCCATCTTGACATCTGCAGCTATGGGGTGTTTGAATATCTGTTGGCATGACTAGTAAAGTAGATGGGTGCCAGATGTAGATGGATGGATGTTTTTCCAGAAGGCAGAGAGCAGTATATGGCCTTGTATATGTGGGTCGCCTAGCTTCTCCAGACCCAGGTCACCTCATGGGCTCTAGGGATATGTGGGGGAAGGGCCCTTGGAAAGAGGCCACAGAGTGCATGTGAATGAGCTGCCTTAGTAATGGGAGGTTTGGAGATAATTGCATGTCTTAGGTGTGCTGGGAGGCAGGGGGCCAGAGGTCCATGGGGAAAGCAGCCAAGAGGGTCCTTATCTCCTAATTATTGCTTGCACTGGAATGGTTGATTGCAGTTAGAAAAGGCCAGATTGTTGTTTTTGTTTTGGTTTGGTTTTGGTGACTTGAGGAAGCAGCCAAGTAGGGTCTATCCAAGCTGTGTGGGTGGTGTTCTGTAATTGTTGGGGTGGTCTCTCTTTTGCCAATTAGGTGGCTTCCTCAGGCTGGCCCTTTTCTGACTTGATTACTCCATGGAGCAGCTTTCTTTTGTATAACCTCTTTCATATGGAGAGGAACTGCTTTCAACATGTACCTTCCATCTTGGCACACACACTTGAACGCTCTCCATAGCTTGCACTTACTGAAGTCAAATCAGCTACTTTCTGTCTTGAGAAGGAATATAGAGAACATGTTCTCCCCAGAGGTGCTTCTGCGGCATCCACATCTTGTTAAATGTCTCCTTCGCATTTGCTGTAGCTGTTTGGGGGAATTAAACAGATTGAGTTGATGCACAGTCGAGAGGAAGTGTTTGTTATGAGCATATTGTGTTCCTCACACTCTATAAAAACAAGCTTAAATTGGGCCATGGGATTCAATGAAGAGCTAAAACTATACAACTGTTAGAAGAAAATGTAAGAGTAAATATTCATGATGTTGAAGGAGGCAAAATAGTCTTAGATATGGCACCAAAAGCACAAACAGCAAAAGGATAAAGAGTTGGACTTGTGAAATGCTTTTGTACTGTGAAGGACAATTTGTAGAATGGGAGGAAATATGTACAAGTCTTTCTCCGGTAAGGGATATGTATCTATAATATTTAAAAGAACCCTTACAACAGAACACAACTGGTATAGTCCTACTCCAAAAATTTGAAATCTGAAATGCTCCAAAATGCTAGACATTTTGAGCACCAAAACATCACCACCAATGGAAAATTACACACCTGACCTCATGTGACAAGTCTGTGTTGAGTGGCATGTACACTAAAAAGACTCTATGTATAAAGCTATGCAAATAAGATGTGCACAAATATAAGTGAATTTCACATTTAGACTTGAGTTCCATCCTCCAATTATCCCATTATCGATATGTACAAATATTCCAAAATTAAAAAAAACATTTCTGGCACCAAATATTTTAGATAAGAGATATTCAGAAGGACAACCACATTTAAAAATGAGCTAAGAAAATGAATAGACTTTTCTCCAAATGGCAAAGGAGCATTCAGAAAAGGTGGTTAAACCTCGTTAGTCACCAGGCAAATTCAAATCAGAAAAACAGTGAGATACCATTTCAAGCCAATTCTGAGAATTACAATTGAAGCCTCAATGGTGGGGAGTCCAGAGGGGGCTGGGTTACATGGCACGTGACCTTGGGCCTGCCTACACAGTGGCTGCTGGATCCTTGAGCCCTAGGGGTGGGGCTCGGGTCTCCTGGCCTATGTTCTGGAGACCACTTGCTGGGGTGCGGCAGGGGGGTTGCGTGTCCATTAGCCCCAGGCTTGGGGCTTGGCCCAGATCACCTGGCCTGGTTCCATGAGCCTACCTATAAAAACTGGTCCTCCTCAGTGTGAAGGGTGGAGTGCTGGACAGTAGACCATGGTGCACATAGAGGACATGGTAGCTCATTGGGGCCTACAGAGGACATCTGGTACCATAGCAGAGCATATAGACAACTACCCCAGCCAAACAATAACATCAAATATCTGGGCAGTTGGAGACTATAAGGTCAATGATGTCAGCCAGTGGATATTGAGGAAAGGATTCCTCATCCATATGTGAGTGAGATCAACAGCAGATCGACAGCATTTCAGAACTATTGCATCCACCTGGGCAGAACCTCAGAGCATGTGCCACATTGTGACAATGGATTGATATGGAATGGCCTTTTCCCATCCTCAGGTACTGGGATGGTTGAGAGGCTGGAAATGACCTATCCTCTTATCTACCCTCTCCCCAAAGAAATGGGAAGAACAAACAGAAAGCTTGGAAACAGTGATCACACTCACTTCTCTCTAACCCTAGATCCTTCCCACCCTGATTAACTATGTAAACATCATCTAAAATAATAATTAAAAATGCAGAGTGAACAAAAAAAGAAAAGACATAACAGCAAGCGCTGGCTAGGTACACAAAATTGGGACTGACACGTACTGTTATTTGGAGTGTAAATCATGCAGTTACGTTGGTAACCTGTCCTTAAAATGTTAATGTTACCCATGATCCAGCCATTCCATTTCTGGGTCTCTTGCCAAAGGAGGTCCTTGAGCAGACATCTGTGCTGCTCTGTTCATAGCAACATTTTTCACAGTTATCCAAAGGTAGGACTAACCCAAGCATCCATCAACAGGTACAAGAGTTAGTACACTGTGGTTTCTATATAAAATGGTATATTACTTACTGATACATGCCACAACTTGAATAAACCATGAGATCCTTATTCTGCTTGAAAAAAAGCCAGTCACAAAAGTCCATGAAGTATATGATTCTGTTGATGTATAATGTCCAGAATTGACCAATCTGGAGCGAGTATAGGCTGTTCAGTGGTTGAGGAGGGAGGAGGAGTGACTGCTAATGGGTGTGAGGTTTGCTTTGGTGGCCATGAACATGTTTTAAAGGTTGCATTGCGGTGATAAGTGCACAACTCTGCAACCATGCTAAAAATCTTTAGACTGTATACTTCAAATCTGTGAACTATATGGTATGTGGATATCTAAAAGCAGTGTTTAAAATTTATTTTTAATAAACTTGTTTTTAAAAAATTAATTTGTTTTAAAGAGAGAGAGACCAGAGAGATATTGCACCTGCTGGTTGATTCCCCAAGTGGTTACAGCAGCCAAGGGTGGTCCAGGCTGAAACTTGGACTATGGAGCTCCATCCGTTTCTCCCTTATGGGTGGCCATTTTCTGCTACTTTTCCAGGTGCATTAGTAGGGAACTGGATCACAAGTTGAGCAACAGGGAGTCAAGTGGGCACTTATATGGAATGCTGGCAGCAGTTTAAACAGCTGCATCACAATGCCAGCCTAGAACTTATGCTTTGATTATCTGCTATATTTGTTCTTAAAAATCAGCACCTGGGTGTTTGCTGTTGACTTGAAAGATAGGTAGTTAATAAATATTTGGTGGCTGTATAGGAAGTTAGCTGGAAGTTAGATGCTTCAAGCATAGAAGAAAGGAGAGGTGCAGGTTTTTCTTTCAAGGAGTGCAAATGGAGAAGACAGTATTAACTCAGGTGTGTGATCAGCAAAAACACCTGCCACTACCACTTATCAGTGCAAGTCCTCCCAAAACACTGCTCAGCAGTACCCTGGGAAAATGAACAAACACACTCAGTGTTCAGAGCCAGTGAGGAAGGAGTGTCTGTTACATTCCAAAGTAGAATATAAATATAAAAAAATTGTCCCTATCAAACACATGGAATTCTTGTGCAGGTCACAACTTGGGATAGGAAATGTGCTAGTGCCTTGTGATCATCCAATACCACTTGGGAGATGAGCTCCCCTTGTGACTACAACTTTATGGAAAGTCTGCTCATTTCACAGAAGGTGTTAGATGCCTGTGTGTGTACAGGGAGTGTACAACGGACAGCAAGGGAGCAGGCACACGTGACAGTTGTTTCTAAAGAGGGCATGTGCATAGAGTATTTAATGTGGACTTGGAGGTGAGGGACAGCCTCCAGGGCATTAGCCCAGTGAGAGACATACTCCGAACAAAGGAAATCTGTCCTGACTAGTTCTCGCCCTTATACCACCATTATCCGTTGGTTACTGTCTCCTCTAGCCTGTAACTACTATTATTCCCATTTTTCAGACTGGAAGGTTGAGACTATGTTTTTAGAATTTTTCTCAAAAACAATGCCAATAGTGGAAAAGGTAGGTTTTCTACCTTCAAAGCTAGGGCATTATATTTTATCTTAGTACATCTTTGAGCAGTACAAAACTGCATTTTAACGCTTTTTTTTTTGACAGAAATGTGTATACATGATCACTATTGAAAACTTAGAAAATATAGAACAAAACATAAAAAGAAATTTTAAATCATCTTTATCTACAAACAAGGTGGTATATGGTTGTTTAACCTCCAAATTAGACTATGCTGTCCATTAGCTTATTTTTTGTAAGAGTATATTCACATTGTTTCCTGTGTCATTGAACATTCTCCCATATAGTTACAGTGGCTATCAAGCAATCTGTAGGATACACCAAGCTGCCTGCTCCATTACCTGGTTAAAACTTTGGAGGATATTTCTCTCTAGTTTTGGCTATTACAGCCAATGTTGTCATGAATATTTTTTAAAGATATATTGATTTGAAAATCAGAATGACAAAGTGAGAAGAATACACACACACACACACACACACACACACACACACACACACACACACAGTCGTTTCCCATCCACTGGTTCACTGCCCAAATGAGTGTCACACCCAGGCTTGGGCAAAATTAAAACCAGGAGCCAGCAACTCTGTCTGAGACTCCCACGTGAGTGACAGAGGCCCCAGGTACTTGGCCATCTTCTGTTGCTTTCCTGGGCACATTAGCAGGAAGCTGGATCAGAAGCAGAGTAGCTGGGACTCGCAGCAAGACTTAAGGTGCTGCATTACAGTGCTAAGCCCTGCGGTGAACATTTTTGCACAGTAATCTTTGTCTCAGTCTTGAATGACATTCTGAATTTGGCCTAAGAAAATTCCTGTGACAAAAAGAGCATGCACATTTTAAGGCTTTTGATTTGTAGCTTTAGTATTTCTTGTGTTGCACCTGTTAGAGAGTTTCACCCTGCACTGTGTATTCATTGTCTTGCTTCCTTTGAACTTGTCATTTGACATTTATTTCATTGACATTTTAGTTCTTTATTATTGGAGTTGACTTTTATGTTTTGTGTTCATTTTATTAAATGATAGAATATGTAATATTGTAAGAGTTCATTGATTGTTTGAAGACTCACACTCTTTGTAGGCCAAAAGTGATGATTTACGAACATCAGAGGACTTAAAAAATTCATTTTTCTGTAAAAATGCTTTTGAAATACTTGTGTAGTTTTTTCATAATATGAATTTTCTGAAGACCCCTTTATATGCATGGATTCCAAATATCTTGCGGCAAAATAAACTTAAACTTTTAAATTTCATTTCCCACAGACTTAAAATCTCCTCCTGTATTTTCAGCAGACCTGTGACTGCCCAGGAATGGGACATTTAGATGTTTTGTGAGCAGGAGAGAGGGGAGGAATTTGTTTCTGAGGTGATCACTGTTGTTTTTGTCACGCAGGTTCTTAAAGGTGGACAGGAAGCTCCCACTAAGCCCAAAGGTCGTCCCAAGAAGAACTCCATCCCCACGTCGGAAGAGATTGAGGCCGAAGAGAAGATGAACAGCCAGGCCCAGAGCCAGGAGCCTGTGGAACCCTTGCAGGCACAGGAGGAGCCTTGTGAGGTGCAGGACCCCAAAACCTGCGAGGGCCTCTTGGACGTGGTGGCAGAACAGCCAGGCCAGCCGCAGGAGGTGCAAGCAGTCTCTCTGGAACCCCCACCGTTAAGCTAAAAGAAAAGTCTTTAGAGGGTCGGGGAGACAGGGAAGGAGGGGGAAAAGAGAGAAGTCAGGAGCAATGGGAGAAAATGAGCTTCCAGCAGCCTGGGAGACTGAGAGAAGAGGTGCACCTTTCTCCTGTCCTCCCGAAGTTCTCAATGGCGTGTCAGCATGGGCATTTGAAGGAGGCGCACAGACATGCGCTGTTCTCTTCCTAAAAGGCAGCTTATCCAGGAAGCCCTTGATGAAGGGAGTCAGCACCTTGCAGCTGCCTGCCCTGGCTGGGGCTGGGGAACCCCTGTTGTGGGGCCACGAACCCCTCCTGCCACCTGGGCGACTGCTGCTGCTGTCATCTCCCTGCTGGTCCCTGGGCAGCCATCAGAGCAGAGGGTTCGAAGCACTTGGGGCAGTTGTCCAGGCTCTTTGCTGACTCAGCACTTACTTCTGTAGCTTTAAAAGAGAATGTAATGATTTGGTGGGTGTTTTTTTCCCTGTGTTTTGGGGGTGGGAAGGTTGGGGGGAGTGGGCCAGAACGAGCCGAGAGGAGGGGATTTGGCTTTGTTAGAAGTGTTTCTGAATCAGGTTGGTTGGTTTGAAGACACGTGTGCCTTTGTACCCATTTTAAGGTGTTCTTGCTTCATTCAGTTGCCATCCCTTGAAGCCACAATGCAGATATGTTAAGATAACTTTTATTTTTTAATTAAAATAAATGTGCCAAAAGGACTGAGTATTTATGTTTCTTCCAGGGAGTATCTCTACCCCTTGCTGAGTACAATGTGTGGAAAAAGCTCCACAGAGCTGGCACAGCCCCTGGGCCTTTACTTTCCCATCTGTGAAACAGGCCTGGATGGTCATGTCCAAATGGAAGTCCCCGCAGGATCCCCACTGCCTGTCCTCTGCTCCCCCTGGCAGCAGCATCATGGCCAGCTGTTTACATTTTGGGCTTCTGATTTTAGAAAACTTAATAAATCTGTATGCTGCAAAGATTAAAACTACATTTAAAATGTCTTGCTATCACTCTGTCCTCCTTTCTTATTGATAATCTTTTTTATTATTATTTACTTATTTTGAAAGACAGATTCACAAGAAGGGAGAGACAGAGAGATCTTCATTCTCTGGTTCACTCCCCAGATGGGCATAAAATGCCAGTGTTGAGCCAGGCCAAAGCCGGAGCCAGGAGTTTGTTCCAGGTCTCCCACGTGGATGGCAGGGACCCAAGCACTGGGGCCATCTTGTACTGCCCTTCCCAAGCCATCGCCAGGGAGCTGAAATAGTAGTACAGCAGCCAGGACACAAAATGACACCTATGTGGGATGCTGGCATTGCAGGCATCAGTCTCCCCGTCCCTGTAATGATACAACACTGATCCAAGTGAAAAATTTGTTTCTTTTTTTTGGGGGGTGGGTGGGGTGGAGGCAGATATATAGGGAACTGATACAGAGAGAAGGATCCTCCATCCACTGGCTTACTCCACAAGTAGTCACAATGGCCATAGCTGAGCTGCTCTGAAGCCAGGAACCAGAAGCCTCTTCCAGGTCTCACACGCAGGTTCAGGATCCCAAGGCTTTGGCCCATCCTCCACTGCCCTCCCAGGCCACCAGCAGGGAGCTGTACAGGAAGCAGAGTACCTGGGACATGAATCAGCACCCATATGGGATCCCGGTGCATGTAAAGTGAGGATTCAGCCTCTGGGCCATTGCACCAGGCCCCCTAGTAATTATTTTTATTGGTATCATTATCTATCATTCCAGAATTTCTTAATTGAATACCTGTTTGGATGATGGGCTCTGCAATTTTAATGAGACAAGATTTGGGTACTACCTGGCTGAATGTTGGGTAATTTTAAATTTAAAACTGATATCCTATTTTTTAATAAAACCAGAAAAGAGGCAGAACCCCCTTGATGACTAGAAAGAAGGGTTCTGCCTACCTATTCTGTATGATTTCCACACATTCTGGCTCAAGGCTGTGGTCTCCCCAAGGTCACCTGTGGAACACCCTGCAAGGCCCTCCTGGATGCAGCGCCCATTGGAGGCCTGATAGTTAATGACACAGGTTGGAGAATCCCAATAATCTATTGGCTGTGGCCTCAGCTAGGGTCCAAAAACTACTGCTAATTCTGGAAAACAAGCCTACCACCCACATCAAAGTTCAACAGGAAAGGTTTGTGTGTTTTCAGTTCTCTAGCTGCTTCTCCCCATAAATGCACGTGGTTAGAAAGTGACTGCCACCTGCCCTTACCAAAGAAGGGCCTCCATTCCCTTTGCAATTGAAACCCACAGATACAGCAATCTTCTTAACTCTTGTGATTACACAGATGAAGAGGTGAGGTTCTGGCCTCCAAGAACCAGCTTGTGCAGACCATGCTACTGTCTACTTGAGGTGTCTGGCACCAAGCATGTAGAAAGATGTCCCTCCTCCAGCCCAGCCCATGGTGCACCTTATGATCTGCCTACTGTGTGTTGTGCTGAGCCGTACAGTGTAACCATAGCCAGAGAAAGCAGGCAGGAACTGTACTGCACAATTCAACACCACCACTCCCCACCCCCACAGACCTTGCCTTTGGATGCTGACTTCCCATGGCAGTGGGATTTTGGTTTCATGCTTTAGGATACCCGGGTGTCTTTGCATTATCTGTTAGTGACAGTCACTCCACAGACACAGGTGTGTACACATGTGGAGGGTGTACACATGTGGTGGATGCTGGGTCCCACATTCTCTCTTGCAGCTCTTGGTCTGTCCTCTGTGGTGGTGGTATTGCCCGAGGAATTGGTGTTAATTCACTGGTGAGTTTAAGAACCTGGATTATCTTCTCTGGTGTGTTGGAAGTCCCAACCCAAGTTCATCTCTACCTATAAGTCCTCAGATTATGTTTCAGCTTCCACATATGTTAGCACAATGCTGAAAGAAGGGCCAGAGGTGAGCTTTTGGCAGAGTGGTTGAACTGACATTTGAAGTCCCTGCATACCATGCTGGAGTAGGTGGGTTCTAGTCCTAGTTGCAGATTGGCGTGCCCAGTTTGAGTCTCAGCTCTGTTTCGGATCCAGCTCCCAGCTAATGCACATCTTGAGAGGCAACATATAATGGATCAAGTACTTGAGTTCATATCACTCACATGGATTAAATTCCGGGCTGCTGGCTTCACCCTAGCTCCACCCTGGCTGTAACACGCATTTGGGGAGTGAATCAGCTAAGGAAAGATTCTGTTTCTTGCTTCTCCCCTACTTCACTCACTCCATCTCATTTAAAACCAGTAATAAAAACAAGAGGCAAAATTATAAATGGAAATGTATATATTATGTACAGCATGATGTTTTTAAATTATGTATACATGGTAGAATAGCTAAATAAAGCTAATTAACATTGCATTTTTCATACTATTTGTGCTGAGAACACTTAAAATGTACTCTGTCATTTTCAGATACACAATATATTGTTCATTATAGCAAGTATAGTTTCTCTGAAATGTAACTTTCTGCCATCGTCCTACTGCCACACATCTCCTCATGGCTCTGCAAACCACCATTTCGCTTTCTTTTCATATGACTTCAACATTTTTAGATTCCACATGGAACTGATGTGGTATTTATCTTTCTGTGCCTGGCTTATTTCACTTACTGCTTCCAGATTTATCTATGTAGTCATAAATGACAGGATTTCCTTCTCTTTGATGTATATAGCCCTCGTTTTCTATACCCATGGATCCATTGTGGACATTTACTTTGCATGCATCTATTAGCTGTTGGTGAACAGTGCTGCAGTAGTGTGGGAGTGCGGGTATGCTGACTTGATGTCCTTTGGATATGTACTCAGTTGTGGGATTGCTGGATTATATAATGGTCCTCTTTAATTTTTTGAGGACAGGATTGAGCCTTTTGAGTGTGAATAGATGCTTGCTATCTGGGTCTCCATTGTAAGCCAGATTTCTTTCTAGTTCCCAAGACTGTGACAATATCCAGGCCAGATTCACAAGTTTTCTCTGGAAGGTGGATGCAGGAGACCTTTCCTGAGAAGGGTTGCTGGACAGGGTACTCCAGTGTGGAGCTTGCAGTATCATGTGTGTGGACTCCTGATTTTCTTTCTCCTGAGGTCCCCTGCTCTATAGTCCTCATTCTTGTTCCGTGGTGATCTCTGAGGGATCAGGGTCATATGTGCAAAGTCCAGCTGCCGGCAGCTTTCTGACGTTAAATAGTCCCTGTGTGTCTCAACCTTAAGACCTTGAGGAGACTCTGGCCCCCTTGTCTAGGAGGCTATCTCCCCTGGGAGGCTTGGAGAGCACTTTAATAAGCATTTGGATATGTTGCCACACTTTGGGCTGTGCTGTTGGCACACAGATCAGAGGGAGATCATGGTCTTCCTCTCAGTCGGTCCTTTGCTTAGGAGCTGCACGGAGAAACAAGCTCTGGACCGGGGCCTTCCTACTTTCTTCACAGCCCTGCAGTTAATTCCATGTTCTTGCATGTCAATCCATTGTGCCCACTTTCTCATGATCCACTTGAGTCTTATCCATGCCTAGGAAGCAGAAGCTGTGACGGTCACATGGAAGTTACACTGCACGTAGAGGTACTGTCTGATTCCCAGAAAGCCTTACACACTAAGCCCATCCTAAAAGCCATTTGATTTGGAGGCCACCCGCCCCCATAAAAGTCACTATTTTCAATTAGAGCAATCCTTTTGCCTCTTGGCTTCCTGTGCTTGTTGTGCCAGCTCTAGCCTCCTCCTAAGTTCTGTCCTTACAGACAACTGTTTGTTGGGTAGCAATAGACATCTCACAGGTGGGATTGCCCACATTCACACATGAGAGTTTATTCATGCTCTCACTTTACATAAATCCATGATCTCATTTATTGGAGATAAATAAATCTTATGCCTCCACTTACAATTTTTTTTAAAAGATTTACTTATTTGAAGGAGAAAACATCTCTCTCTCTCTCTCTCTCTCACACACACACACACACACACACACACACACACACGCAATTATTTTCCATCTGCTGATTCACTACCCAAATGGCTGCAATAGCTGGAGCTGGCCAGGCCAAAGCTAGGAGCTAGGAACTCCATCTGGGTCTCCCACATGAGTGGCAGAGGCCCAAGACCTGGATCATTTTTGCTGCTTTCCCAGGCATATCAGCAGGGAATTAGATTGAAAGTGGAACAGCTGGGACTTGAACTGGTGCCCATATGGAATGCTAGTATCACACGAGGCCCCTTAACGTGCTGTACATCCTGTTTTGAGTTTTTAAAAGATTTATTTATTTTTATTAGAAAGGCAGATATACAGAGAGAAAGAGAGTGATTTAAATAGATATTCTGTTTGCCGATTCACTCCCCAAATGTCTGCAATGACTGGAGCTGAGCCAATCTGAAGTCAGGAGGCGGGAGCTTCTTGCAGATCTTCCATGTGGGTGCAGAGTTCCAGGTCTTTGGGCCATCCTCTATTGCTTTCCTAGGC